TGGAAATGATCATACCGCTGACGGAGCTGTCACTCTTGGGCCACCTGCGCCATCTACGCATCCTTCGAATGCGCGATTTCGCACGCCCTTACACGNAGAACTACTATACTCTCTTTACACTTCTTAGTTAGAACTCTTCTTAGCTTAAAGTAATTAAACTTAATTTTAAGTACATAGACTTTAATAATAGAGCCTAGCTAACTATTCTTAAGTCCCTATAGCCTAATCTATACCTACTTACTAACCTTAAGNACGCTAAGATTTATACGCAACTACTATAGCTAAGCCTATTTAGTATAGACTTATAGAGGATATACGATATACTTCCGCTAAACTTAGAGTACCTACTACTAGTAGGCTTGAATCTTAGCGACTTCCTTTAGCTTAACGAGAACGAGAACGAGAAAGAGGATAATAGTGACGAGAATGGTGACGAGCATGATAGCGAGAATGATAAAGAGATAGTTAGCCCTGACGAGGCAGAGGACGATACCTTAGAGCAAGACTTCGACCCGTTCTTGCTACGCGACCTATGCACAGGCCTGCCATACCTAACACAGCTTAGGTTTAGGTTCAACTTTTATACAAACACTAGGCCTAATCTCAATTAAGAGCTACAGCGTGCTGGCCAGGATTTAGAGAGGTTAGTAGTAAGGGCACTAGCGCTAGGCTTAATACTTAGTATCTACGTGTGTTGCTTAGAGAGTAATATTAGTGACATCTTCTATATAGGTAATAATATAGAGGCTACGTAGGCAAGAGAATAACTACTATACGTAGATACTAGAGGTACTACGCGGACGTTTCCTTATACTATTAGAAGCTATAGGCTTATATTAGGATAGCTAAGTTAACCTAGTAATCTAAATCTCTATAAGACGTACTATTCTTAATATTTCGATCTCTTCGTACGCGGTCTTCTTATAGTAAACACAAAGCGTTGTAGATATATTACTTTCTCTCTACCAACTGCGGTATCCTAGGTATTAGCCCTCTAACTTCGTCTATAGCGCTTTAATCTTACTATTAGATATGTTGACTAGAGCTATATAAAAGCGCAGGAGATTATAGCAGGTTATAGGATAGATTAATTAATACTTACAACGTAGGCGCGTATAGCTTTAAACTACCTAATATTTTAGTTAACGTGCGGGATCAGTAAGCTGGAAAGATCAGTAAGCTGAACGCCCCACCCAAACTGACGCGACTCTCTGCGCAATTAATCCACAACAGCGCAATAAAATAAGATGAAATTGAGAGATATAATTTATTATCTAGCTTTACACGTCGTACGAGTGTGTCCTTGAATATGGCACT